TAGCCCACATCAGTAGTGATCCTCCTGATTTCTTGCCTCCCAAGTTGCTGGGATTACAGGCGCGCGCCACTGCGCCCAGACTCCATCGCCGGCTCAGCGCACCCGGAGGTGGGGCCAGCGCGGCACACGGAACCAGGGATCGAACCCTGGTCCCTATGCTTACCAAAGCAAGCACTTAGTCCGCTGAGCTATACCGCCGGCCCTGAACAAATCTTTCAGTGCTGTTTTCCAACAGCATGTGATGAGTTTGTGTTAGATTTTGGTAACTGACAGTATTTAAAACTTTTATTGGTATATTTGTTATGGGGAATTGTGATCAATGAGTGATCTTTATTGTTAATTGATTAGGGCACTGTGAAAGTGCACACGTTGAACTTAATTGATGTTGTGGATGTTCCAACCATTTATTCCCTGACTATTTATTGCCTTGAGTCTCTATTCTGTGAGATTAAAAACAGCATTGAAGTTGGGACAGTTAATAACCTTTCAGTAGCCTGGAGGTATCCAAGTGAAAGGAAAAAGTCACCTGCTTTTAACTTTAAATTAGAAGCTGAAAGTGCTTAAGCTTGTAAGAAAGCCTTGTCTCAGAAGCTGGGCTAGGTTGACCCCTGGGTCTCGTGTGCCTGTAATCAAGTTGTCAGTACCTTGCGAGAAACAAAGTGTTACCATACTGAACGTAGGAGTAAACACTGTCGTGGTCCGGGAAGAAGCCCCAGCTCACTGCCCTGCCAGAAGCTGACGTCTACCCAGGGAAAGCCCTGTCTGTCTGCCTTCAGTTCCGTGAGGGCTGAGGGAGGTGAGGTGGCCAGCTGCAGAGCAGCCTGAAGCCCTCAGAGGCTAGGTCGTCAGGGTTGCAGCACGCAGCTGTCTCTAGGAAGTTCACGGTGAAAGAGGCGCTGATGCAGAAGCTATTACTAGTTACGTGAAGATCTAGCTAAATAAAGTAATAGATGAAGGAGGTTATGCTAAGCAGCTAGCTTTCAGTGTAGTAGAAACCGCTTGTGTTGGAAGAAGATGCCATCTGTGACTTATAGTTAGCGCAAGTCACTGTCCAGCTTTAAAGGAAAATTGAGGGTCGGCCTAATAGCTCAACAGATTAAAGTGCCTGCAAGCAGGTGCAGGGGCCATGGGTTCAATCCCCGGGTCTGTTATGCCTGGCCCAGCCCCTGCCCCTGGGGTTTGCTAAAACAACAATTGAGACTGGGCACGGTGGTGCACACCTGTGATCCCAGCTCTTGGGAGGCTGTAAACAGGCGGATCACTATGAGTCCTGTCTAGTAGTGAGACCCTGAACATCCTGTAGACCCTTTGCTAAAATATTTAAAAAAAAAAAGGAAAACTGGCTCTTGCTAGGTGACCCAAAGCTGAAGCTTGTGCTTCTCTCCTGTGCTGAAGATCTAGGACCTTAGGTATCACACTGCGTAGGCTGTGTTGCAGTTACGGAACAGAAGGGCACAGAAGACAGCATAGATGGTGACAGCATGATGTACGAAATATTGTAAGCCAACTACTGAGTTCTCCTTAGAGAAAGATTATTTTCAAAACTGACAGTGCGCCTCATCATCTGAGCTCTAAGGAAGACATTCAGTGGAATTAGTGTTTTCTTTCTTGCCAACACAGTATTTTCTTGAAGACAACGCAAGCATTGGGGAAATAAAGTATTAATATTAATAAAGCTAGTTGATGAAGCAGTGGCAGGATTTGCAAGGACTGACTCCAGTTTTGAAAGAAGTTCTCTTGGTAAAATGCTGTCAGAAATCATTACCTTCTGTAGAGTCTCTTTTGAAAGGAAGACTCAGCAACCAAGTGGTCCGACTTCCTGTCTTCAGAGATTGCCACAGTCACCCTGGCCTCCAGCAGCCCGTGGCTCCTCAGTCAGCAGTAGTCGCCTTGTGTTGCAGCCCTCCACTTGGAACAGGGGCTTTGTGGTTCATGGAAGGCTGTGGTGGTTGGAGCATTTTAAAGCAACCTTTGCTTTTATCTTGTATTTTTGTGTTACCAGGGATTGAGCCGGGGCCTCACATAGGCGGGGCAGGTGTACCCCTAACCTACATCCTCAGCCCCAGTAAATTAAAGTGGGGACCTGATAAGTTAGAGTTGCATGAGGTTGGAAGGACAGAATAGCGAATTTCTTAGTAGTATAATCGAGAGCTGGGACTTACACACACTGCAGGAAGGTAAGTTGTTTATTGACAGAAAGTGGCTGGCAGAGGGTGGCAGAGCCTAGGATGGCTGTAGTGTGCATGCGCTTGGGTGATGTGATCTCAGGAAGGCAGAGGATGTTTGCCGTCAAAGGGAAGCACCTGCAGGGACTGTTGTGAGAACACAGCATTGTAGCACCACAAGGAGAAAGGAGGGGAAAAAATAAAGATGAGATAGATGTGTCCGAGAAAATGCTTACTGGAATATATGCAGACACTGGCTTCTGAATGAATATAATAGGAGAAAAGGGCATTCACAGCATGAGGCTGAGAATGAACTGCCAGGAAATATTTAAGAGAACAGCTCACACTAAACAAAGGAGAGGGTTATAAGAACCAAGGTGTGACTGATTGTCCTGACCATTTGGCTCCCCAGGATACCTCAGTGTCCTTAGTGGAGTGATGGGTAAGGGCACAAGGAAGTGGTGAGGTAGGAAGCGTTGGGGCTGAAGTAACAGCATAGTTTTGAGATGTGTCAAACTTGTGCTACCAGGGTAACTAACGCATGTCAAAGGAAGGAAAAGGCCAGCATAGCAATTCGGCAGGGATTTGCATAGTAAGGGGGAATTGCTCAAATAAAAAAAAACAGATGCCTAAACAGTTTTTTCTTTGCAAAACCAGGAATGGTGGAAGATGTGGAATGAGTCAGTACAAATTATTTTGTGTAAGCATGTGCTGGGTGGGGTAAGCGAAGGCACTTTTGCAGGACTCGACTTCAGGAAAGATGGAACACTTTAGCTTGTTAGATGCAGAGAAAGGTAGGGGATATACAGATCTCTGGAGAATTTTGGAAATTAAGGAAGTCCTATAGGACTCAGTTTCCCTCCTTCAGACCTGATCCAAAGCAGGATTTTCAGACATGATACAAGGCCTGAAGTGAAATGGAATGGATACAAAATTTATGCTAGCTATTCAGGGCCTGAAATATAGGGTAAAGGGTAATGAATGGATTTGAAGTCCAATTGAGACTGCATGAACTGAATGCGTGTTTCTGCAACCCCTTACGTAGTTCAGGCCTTGCCCCAGGTGCAGCAGCTTGAGAGTTCTAGGACACAGGAAGTAGAATTGTATGATTATGTGAGCGCTACAGCAAACTAAAGATGCAGAGGGCTTTGAAGAAGTGTGTCGGTAGTAGTGTCAGGACGAGGGGTGGTGGCGCTGAGAATGAAGCCCAGGGTCTTTACAGTAAGAAAAGGCAATTTGCTGAATTGCCAGGATTGAACTCAAACTTGAGATCTTTCTGCCTGAGCCTACCTGTCCTGGATTACAAGCATGTGTCACTGCCGTTTTGTTTGTTTTCGGGGTTTTTTGTGAGGTAAAGTCCTGTGTATTCTAGAGTAGTCTCGTGTTTGCAGTCTTGCTGCCTTAGCCTCCTTAAGTGTTAGGATTGTAGGCGTGAGCCTCCACACGGGACCCCATAAAGGGTTGTGGTTGCCTTGGAGTGTGGGTGTGTGTTTTTGTGTTTTCTGGTCTTGAGACAAGGTCTTGCTATGCAGCTCAGGCTGGTCTTTGAACTCACTGTGTGGTCAAGGCTGGCTTAGAACTCTGAACAATCCTCTTGTCTCAGCCTCCTGAGTGCTGGGAGTTGAGGTGCGTGCCAGCATGGCCAGCCTCCTGAGGTCTTGCCTGAGGGGTAGCTTTAGGTAGCAGAGCTAGAGTGGGGCAATAAATGGAGAGAAATGAATGAAAGAAGTCAAAGAAGTCACAGTGAAATTAAAGAAAATATGGAAGAAATGAGTTAAAATGTTTACGTGTAAGATACTTAAACGTGTATATATTTAAAGTCACTGGGTTTTCTCCAGATAAAATAATTTTTTATTTTTAAGTTTTATTTTCATGAAGAGTAGTGCTTTTTAGTGTTCTTTGTTTTTGCATTCTAGGGATTACAGAACTCTAGAACCCAGGGCCTTTGCATTGGACTGTGTCTCCAACCCTTTTGTCACTTTTTTTTATTTTGAGATAGGGTTCTTCTAAGGCATTCAGTTGCCTACAGTGGGCTTGAACTTGTCTTCCTGTCTCAGCCTCCTGGAGTGCAGGCATTACTGTGTAGGCAAGCCTTGTCCACCCTGGCTGAGGAATTGCTTTGACTTGCATGATTCTGCTCCAGTAGTCTGTGGTCATGGCTGGTCTTTATCTTGCTAATTAGTGTAAACATATTTATTGTATTACTCGATAAAGTTATTATTGGTATCTCTTCAAATGATCTTCACTGTCTTGATGTATGAAAAGCAAAGCAGAGGGTTTAAGTGAAATTAGTTATTTGGGTTTTTGCCCTGCAGAACTGATCCATTTGGGCTGATTTTTTCTTTTAAATGAATTTTAGTATAGGGTCTCACTATACAGAATGAATTTGCAGTGATCCTCCTGTTTTCAGCCTCCCAAGCACTGAGATTATAGGAGTATGCCACACACCCAGTCTCAGTCTCCATCTCAGTGCCAGTGTGCCCAGGGATGGAGCCAGCTTGGCACACCAGGGATCCAACCCCAGTCCCTCTGTCTGCCTAAGCAGGTGCTTTAATCTGCTGAGCTATCTGGCCGGTTCTGGACTGAATTTTAGAGAACTTCTGTTCTCTTGATTCACCAGCAGGAAAACAGCTTCTCACCTTTGGATACCTGTGGAGATTTCTGATTCCCTGGTCTAGAACTGCTCAGTCAGGATTCGGCCAGGGAACAAAAATTCTCAACTGGAGCTAATGTTTCGGGAAGAATTTTTGCAGGGTTCTCCAGGAATAAGGACTGTCTTAGATGAATGTATTAACTTAAATATGCATTATTGTTTTCCAACTATAAAAGCAATAAAATATTTACAAAACTAACAAAAAATAAATGCATAAGTGAGCAGGATGGTACATCCTTACAATCCCAGTAGTATGAGAGACTGAGGGAGAAAAATAAAAAGTTCAAGCCCAGCCTGGGCCACTTAGTGACTTGGGAAAGAGTGCCCTCCCCGCAACATGTCTTTTTTACCAGTTTTCGTAATGCCCTTTTGGATGGGTGATAATAGTTTACTAATTATCCTTGTGTTTTCAGCCCTCCAAGAGCTGGGATTACAGGCCCGCACCACCAGGCCCAGTCTCAGTTGCTGTCTCAGTGCTCCCTGGGTGCAGGGCCAGCACAGCACACCAAGGATTGAATCCCGGCTGATGCATCTGCCTAAGCAGACGCTTTAGTTTACTAATTATCAGTAATTCTCTGAATGCTTAACTGGCACTTTTTGGAAAGAAATCAGATCTCTGAGTATGAAGTAGTTTAAAATTTATTAGTAAGAATTATGCATGTTTTGAGTTCTGTGTTGCTCTTTTTGCTGACATACTATAGTTAATGCCGACTTCTAAGCCAGGGAATAGAAAAATTCTGTTCTGGGCGTAGTGAAGCATACTATAATCCCAAGGCTCAGGAGGCTATAGTGAGTTTGAAGGCATTCTTGGGCACAGTGAATTGAAAGCCAGTCTGAACTCCATAGTGAAACTTTCAAAAACCACTTCTAGTTCTCAGTCCAACCTTCGGTGTCTTTGCTTTTACAGTTACGATTTCTTTTTTTTTAGTTATGATCTTTACTATTGCCTCATATTTGCATTTTCTAATTTATGGTTCTTTGTTTTGTTTAGTTTTTGAGTGTCTCACCATATAGTTGAGGCTGGCCTTGAACTCTTGTAGACTACTCTGGCCTCAAACTCTGGGGGATCCTCCTGCTTCAGCCTTCCAAGTTCTGGGATTATAGATACGGCCCACCATGTTCAGCGTAATTTGTGGTTATTTACACTCCACTGTAGTGCTTTAATCAGTAGTATTGATTCTCATTTGGAATCATCATCTTTAGGAGACACACCAGAATTTATGGGAGGGCAGTACAGCTTGCAAAGATTCTACTTTGTAGAAACAGTAATAACTCCTATTGAAGAGTGTCAGCCATCAGTCTCATTCACAAACAGAGTGTGCATATGTATTAACAAAGTTAGAGGACTAGAAATAGCAGTATGGGAGTTGTTATAGTGTAATTGCATTGTACTTGGTTTCCCTATTACGTAAAGAATATTAACTATTTTTAGATTTTTTTTTTTTTTTTTTTCTTTTTTTAGGTTGAGAATTTTTAAAATCTTTGATTTGGTACAGGGTCTCACTATGCAGTTCAAACTTACAGTGATCCTCCTGTCTCAGCCTCCCCAGGGTTCTGGGGCCAGCACATATGGTACTGGAGATTGAACCTAGGTCCTTGAGCTTGCCAGGCCAGGTGCTTAGACCAAAGAGCTGTCTTCTCAGTCAGCCCTAGGTTGAGAATTTTCAAAAGGTGAATTCTAAAAAGTTTTCTAAGATTATGATAGTTTGAAGATGTTCCTCTGGTAAGCTATCTTAAAAAAGATTATAAAGAAATTGTAATTGCTTGGCTCATGTTAGATTGGGTATTTTTGCTATCGAATTAAAGTTTGAACATGAACTATTTGCTAAATAAGTTAATTAAATGTTTGTGATTCAGGCAGAGAAAGTAGAAACCGAGGAGGCAGGAGTAGTGACAACAGCAACAGCATCTGTTAATCTAAAAGTGAGTCCTAAGAGAGGCCGACCTGCAGGTAGGCTTATTATTTAAATACTTGATTGGCTTGTGGTTCATATTCTAGTCCATGGAAAATGTTGCTGCCTCACATGTTCTGAAATGAAGTGGTTGGGTAGCTGAGTACAGCGACATTGCTTAACAATCGGGGTGCGGGGAAGCCGGAAGAACGCACTCGCACTGTGCGGACACCGTATCAGGCCAGCTAAGAATGCTGTGATGGCTACAGGCCCTCCCCCTCATGGACTCTGAGCAGCCGCAGGGTACCTGCACTGTCTTTGCAGTGGATGTAATGTTCAGGTTGGAGGTGGTCACCTTTTTCACTGTTTTCAGTATAAGCTTTCGAAGTGGAGTCGTAAGTGCAGCAGTTGCTTAATATAAACAGCTGTTTAATGGCATTATCTATTTCTAAGAATGCAACATGCTGCTCAGTTCGTTGCCTGCTCAGTGTTTTCTTTATTTGGCAAATATAATGCAAAGTAAAAAAAAAAAAAAATTGAGCCAATTTTTCCTGTTTTTAATAGGATTCTTACTGAAAAGAGCTAAAGTGAATAATAACCAGAAAAAAACCCTGAAAATTTATTCACACACTATTTCATAATACAGTACTGCAAAATGGATCAAATCAGTGGTGCTGGGAGACATAGTGACGTGTGATGGGACTTAGCGAGGTGACTGCAGAGGTACCTGCTGGTGCGGGCTGTCTGAGTGTCAGTTCCACGTGACACTCTAGTTACACTGCTGATAACCGTTAGAGCATCAGCGAAAAAGGAGGCTCAAGGCCTTTCCAATATATTGAAGACAAGTTGAAAATTACTGTCCCTTAGGTTCTTTGCCTTTATTCATTTGATCTCTGGAGGTATATTTTTAAGAGAAACTTGTAAGTCACTGAACCTGTAGTAAGACACTAGACAGTTTTCATGTAGTGCATGTCATCCGTAATTTACATCTATGTGAGCTGTGTGCTTTTACAGGAACTAGTAGTTAATGATTTTTTTCCTCCCACATGAATGTTAGCTACAGAAGTCAAGATTCCAAAACCAAGAGGCAGACCCAAAATGGTAAAGCAGCCCTGCCCTTCGGAGAGTGACATGTGAGTATGACGAGTTGTCCAATAAGTGAGACCTTCAGATACGTGCACATATCACTTCGTGTTTTTACCAGTTTTATCTGGTTTTATAGGATGTGTGTTGCTTGCTTTAACTATTTTGATACTTGTAAAACTTACAGGGTAAATTGGGAAATTTTGTAAAAAGTAAAAATGAGTTGAGAATCAAAATATGTGATGATTATTTTATGGGTCGATTTAAGACCTTTTCTTGGTGTACTGGAAGACACAAAAATCACTTGTTGCCAAGCAGAGTAAGTCTGTAAAAGGGAAATTGGGCAAAAGACTATGTTGAAGGAATATTATTTATTTATTTTCTGTGTGTGCATGTGCAGTGTCTCACTGGGCAGCTCAAACTCATAGTGATCCTCCTGTTTTTGGCCTCTCCAAGCGCTGGGATTACAGGCGTGCACCATCTCTCTAGAATTTTAGACATTTAAGTTAATGTCCACAGATCAAATAGTACTAAATGTATTTTTTGTAGTGAAAACCTAAGATTTATTTTAGAACAACCATCAAAGACTGTGTTTTCTTCTCGCCCTACCCCAGCCCTCACCCTTAAGAATCCTGTTTAGTTTGGCTTTTCCGGAAAACATTTAATGAGAAGGGACACATATTTAGACCATGGAAGTAAACCTTTTTGTGGCTGTTGTGTTTGAAGTTTTTGTAGGGAAAGCTCAAGTGAAATATGTTAATCAGTTGATTTACTCTTAGCTACTTGGGAAGCTGAGGCAGGAGGATCACAAAATTTGGGGTCAGTTTGGATAAGTTAGATCTTTCCTTTAAAAATAAAAAAAAAAAAAAGGAATAGGTTTACAGTGTTTTGAATGAACAGATTCACTGCTGTTTGGTTTTTTATTTTAGGCAGGGTCTCACCATGCAGTTCAGGGAAACCACGAATTCGCTCTAGAGCCAGGCTGGCCTCAAACTCCACAGTCTTCATGCTTCAGCCTCTTGGGTGCTGGGATTGCAGCGTGCACCTCCACACCCAGCAGTCAGAGTTGATACTGTCAGCCAAAATGTATTGAAACTGAACTTCCCCGCTCCGTTTTTTAAAAAATGATACGAGGCATTGGAACCAGGGGCACTACCTTTGAGCTGTTATTCCCCAGCTGTTTTTATTTTGTATTTTGAGATAGGGTCTTGCGAAGTTGCCCATGTTGCTCTTTAACTTGTCCCCTACCTGAACTTCCCTGGGGAGCGGGGATATAGGAATGTGCCACCGCGCCTGGCTGAGGCCTCCTTTGCTGGCAGGTCCAAGGACAGGGCCTCATGGGGCCTGAGCATGTACTGTCACATTGAGTTTCATCCGAAGTTCTCAACCAAAATTAAAGCTTTATTTTACTGCAGAACTAGCTGTTAAAGGATGCTTAAAAATAAGTGGGGCGTGCACCTGAAGCTCCCGAGGAACATTACTATTATTAGAGCCTGGGAGTTTGAGGCCAACTTGGGCAAAATAGACTCTGTCCTTTAAAACAGTAACAACAACAACAACAACAAAAAAAACCCTGCCTAAAGGACTCTCAAATAGTAGCATGTAAAGCCAATATATTATATATTTGAAAATTGAGAAAATAGATTTTAAGAATTCTTACTACAAAAGCAGGCATATGTTAAACAGCTAAATTCAGCCATTTCACAGTGTAGGGTGCAGCAAAATATGTATGCTATAAATATATACAATTTTTGTCCGAAAGTAGTGGCACTAATATACACATAGTTTAATTACTGCAAGTGAAATAAAGAAGTTGTGTACTTCTGTACGTGAGATTTTTGCAGGCATTATTCTCTAGGAATTCTGAAATTTGGGAGAGGCCCCTATTTTGAATATAGGGATATTTCTGGATTAAGCCATAGTTTTCCCTGAGAAGTAGCTCTTTGTCTCCATGGCCTTTGGCTGATTCCTGTGGAAGTTTTCTTTTCTTTTTTTTTTTATTCTATAGTTGGGAAAAAGTTTCCAGCTACAGTGAGCAGCTGTCTCCCCTGGCTTTCAGACTAAGAATTTGGGGGTCTAGTATTCCATTTTAAAGTTGTCTTTTTGATGGATGTGCCTGTGTTGTCTGTCTGGTTCTCATTAGCTTCACATTCACAAGACTTAATCACATGTGCTTATCTTTTTGTACTTAATGACGCAGTTTTGAGTTTATTGATACTCCTAATACCCTTGAAGACTCACATATACACTTAAGAGTGATGGCAGTTCAGGAGCCAGGTTTCCATCTGAAGAACACGGGAGAGTAAACCTGAGGCTTTCACACTAGCTGTGTGCCAGCCCTCTTTAACTAGTTCTTCCCCCTTAATTTTGAGCTCCTTTCCCACTGTGTTGTCTTACCTGGCCCTGAACTTCTGGTCCCCCTCCCTGAGCTTCAGAGTGCTGACATGTGCAGTCATGTATCACATACCTGGCTCCAGTTGGAAATCCTAAGACTGGAAGCTATATCCTTGATTAGATCTTTGATCCCAAGCTGTCTGAATTTGGAAATTCTACATCCTTATTAAAATAAACCCCTGAGCCTGTAATCCCAGTACTTGGAAGGCTGAAGCAGGAGGATCTCCTAAGAGTTTGAAGCTGACCTTGACTACATAGTGAGTTCAAGGTCCGCCTGCATTCTACATAGTGAGACCCTGTCTCACAAAAAAAAAAAAAAAGAAAGCCTCTTGAATTGTCAGTAGCCTGCCTTGAAAACACTTCAGCCAAAGTCCCAAGTTCCTTGAGTACATTTTCTTTTGTCAGGTTATCCTAGTTCGGCAGTTTTATTAATTGTGTAGCGATACATTAGAGAGTAGAAAAGTTGTCATTAGAGGCCCGGAGTGGGAAAGGGTGTAGGAGGCAGATAGAGTTAGGTAGTGGATCCCAAAGTACAGTATAGGGAGGAGTTCTTTCTAATGCTAGGTAGTGCAGTAAGAATAACTAGTCTATGAAAGTTCCCAGCACTTAAAATGAATACTTGAGGACAAGATGCTGATTCTGCTTGACCATTACTCACTGTACACATTTATCAAATTATACTATACTTAGGCCAGGGAGATAGCTCAGCGATACAAGCACCTCCCTAGCAAGTACAAAGTCCAGAGTTCAATCCCCGGTACAAAAAAAAAAAAACCAAACTTTTTTTTTTTTTCCAAAAAATTATACTATACTCCATAGTATAAATATTATATCAATTAGAAATCTGTGAAGGGATTGAGAATGAGCTCAGTAGTATAAGTGTGTTCCTCCAGCAAAAGCGAGGTCCTGTTTTTCATATTTATAATGCACCAAAAAGAGGTTTTAAAAAATTGAGGTGCCCATATTCTCAGCTCCAAAGTGAATACTGCATATTTTAGGTTTTAGTTTTTGCTACCAGTTTGGTGCTGCAATGTATAAGCCTAAAGTAGCACTAGTTTATTTATGGGGGTTGAACCTGTGGCATCTGACTACTAGCACTCTATTCTGAGTTACATCCCAGCCCTTTTTATTTAGAGAAAGGGTCCCTAAGTGCCCAGGCTGGGTGCAAATGTGGGTTGCTCCTCCTCAATCTCAGTAGTACTTAACATTATTGGCATGTACCAGCTTGCCCACCTGTGTTTGTCGCTCACGCTTCTCACATAGGCTGTGCGTTAGCTGTCGCTGCTGTGGGCAGCAATCTGGGCATGCTGAGCGGGATGCAGAACTAAACTGGGTAAGCTCCTACGAAGCTGCTCTTCATTCGAGAATAGCCGACCACTATTGAGACCAGTGTTGAGTGTTCTCAATACTGACCGGGCCTGTTGCTGACCATTTTGCAGTGGGTACTGAAATGACAACAGGATAGAACCCATAAGAGCTAAAGCCACTTACAGTGCTCCCGTAGAGAAACACATGCTTATGATAAGCTACTGAGATAGTTAGGGTTGTCTTTGCATTAGTCTTTTTTTTTTTAAAAAAAAAAAATTTTTTTTTTTTTTTTTTTTTTTCCTTTTTTGTGGAACAAGGGATTAAACTCAGGCCCTTGTGCTTGCCAGGGAAGCACTTATTCCACTGAGCCATTTTCCTGGTCCCCCCTGCATTAGTCTTTGCTTAATTAACACATATTAAAAACTAAAACTGGTCTTCCTAATGTCCCCTAAACTGTTATAAAGAGTGATTTGTTGAAGTGGGAATGTAGCTCAGTACAGGCACCAGTATTCGGAAGGCCCTGGGTTAAATCCCAGCACCACCCACGGCAAGGATTTCACGGAATGTAGCCAAAATGATCACAGGGAAAAGACTCATTTAGCAAGCATAGTTTCCTTCATGGAAATTCTTTTGCTATCTTTTGAAAACTTGAAATAATCCTTTTTCTTAGGAGCTTAGGATGGCCTTTTTGTTGGTTTGAGATGAGGTTTCACTGTGTGACCTGGACATTGATCTTAGGCTCAAACGGACCTTCTCCCTCAGCCTTTTGAGTTGCTGGAACTATAGGGTTGGTCTGCCGTGTTTGGTTTTACTTTTGGATCTCCACACTGAGCTGCTTCTAGGATTTTGAGACCCTTCAGGTGTAAGTCACTCAGGTGAGACTTGAACTTGTGATTCTCCTGCCTCAGTCTTCCAAATGCTGGTATTTCAGGTGTTAAGCCCACTACTAAGCCCAGTTTGGAATCCATGGTGTTCTGCATGGTAACCGTGTTTTGTATCACAGAGCTACAGCCCCAGGCCAAGACTTTAAAAATATGGGGCCTGAAGTCACTTTTTAAAAAACTGCATGATGTTTCACATCTACGTATTGTAATTTTAAAGATTTCCACATTTGGGTACCATCTTCAAAGTACATAATAGTGTGGGCTAAGGTTATGGGCCCGTGGCAGGGCACTTGCTTAGTGTGTTCCCTAGTGCTCCAAAACACACCCGCACTCAGCCATCTCAACTTTACATGTGCAGATTTATCCATCAGGATAACTACCTGAAGTGGATTGGTTAGGTCAGAAGGCGTTTGTATTTTTACTAGTCATTTCTTTCCGTAGTAGTTTGGGGAAAGCAAGTGGCTGATGATGCTTACGAGCTACAGAAACGTTTTCTATGTGATTCTGTTCCCATTTTTAAGAAATTGGTAAGGTACTGACATTGTATGTGTATGTTCTCTCTCCCATTGATTGAAAGTAAAAGGTGGACCCCAGGTGACATTCAGAAATAAGCATATCCAATGATAATTTTCTGAACAAGCAAAAAGTGAATTTTTTTTCCTTCTAAGATATTGTCTTAATTAAGCACTGAAAGAAGCATTTATTTGTAATGAAAGTCAGGTTTAGAATTGAAATGTTGAACATACTATGTAACCTTTTGTACCATCATTTTTTTTTTCTTTTTAATAATTTTATTGAGAAACAGCAATGAGAGTTTCATAACCGATTAGTAGGACAGTTTCAGTAATTAATACATTGCATACATTTTTTTCTTTTCCAAGTGAAAAGCACTGAATTAGATAAAGTTCTATTTCTAAATATATTGTCTAATTTATGAAAATCTCAGTTAAAAAAAAATCCCTGAATAGTAAACATTAGTCTTCAATGAAACGACTCCAAACTGAAGTTTTTTTGTTTTTTTTATAAAGCTGTTGCTGTACTTGAACATAAATACATAAAATTGTTAACATTTTCATCATTTACCTCATTAGAAGGCATACTTCTCTTTTTTTGGTGGAACTGGGGATTGAACTCAGGCCCTTGCGCTTGCCAGGGAAGCACTTATTTCACTGAGCCATCTCCCCAGCCCCTAGAGGGCATACTTCCGGTATAAAGGTTTGCACAAAAATTGGACAGTAATTAACAAGTTAGGTTGACCTGTTTTGGAGGTGTTAGGGAAACTTAGGATTCAACTCAGCATTGTTTGATGCTAATTGGCCATAATTTACCTTTACATGCCTACAATATTTGAATTCCAAAATGACTGTTTGCTTTAACTTCTGCAATTTGAGTTTTCCCAATGTATCTACTTCTAAAATATAATCTATCTGTCCTTCCATCTTTTCTTCCTTCTTTCTGTACCAGGAATTGAACTCAGGACCTTGTGCTTGCCAGGCAGGCACTTATGCCACTGAGCTATCTCCCAGGCCCAAGATGTAGTTTTGTTATTATTATTATTAAGTACAGGGTGTACAGGGTCTCACTACGCAGATTGGACTCAGTAATCCTCCTGTCATCCTGCTTTCAGCCTCCCGGGTGCTGGGATTGCAGGTGCACGCCTCCACAGCCAGTCTCAGTCGCCTTCTCAGAGTGCCCGGGGCAGGCCAGCACGGCACACCAGGGCTCAAACCCCTGGCCCCTGTGTCTGCCTACACAGGCACTTTAGTCCACTGAGCTATCTGGCCGTCCCGTAGACTTACTTTTAAACAGTAATACAGCTGTCTTTATTTTTGCAGACAGGGTTGAAGTGCACTGGGCTAATATTGAACTCACTGCATCCTGCTTCAGTCTCAGGGGTCACAGGCATCTGACTCATTTTTATCTAATTACTTAATAACAAGCTTATAGATGAGCGATAAGTGCTGATGCATGACAGCTTGTTTTCCATTGTTGCACTCTCAAACATAGGGTTGCTGAGGATGACAAAAGTAAGAAAAAGGGGCAAGAGGAAAAACAACCTAAAAAACAGCCTAAAAAGGAGGAAGAGGCCCAGAAGGAAGAAGATAAGCCAAGGAAGGAGCCAGACAGAAAAGAGGGCAAGAAAGAAGCGGAATCAAAGAGGAAAAATGTAGCTAAGACGGGGGTCCCATCAGCCTCTGATTCTGAAGAAGAGGGAGATGACCAGGAGGGTGAAAAGGTAGGCTGCGGGCAGCATGGCGCCCTCGTGCTGGCTTTGCGCTTCTCATGCAGGTCTTGACCTTTGCCTCATCACTTGTGATATTTTTATGAACATTACTTGGACTTACCCTTGAGTAGGCTTCCTTGTTGGCCACAGTAAACACATCCTTGAAACTGTCCTTTTTATTTTTTCCTGGATCTGTCTAATCTGGTCATGATTTTGACCTAGAAATTAAAGATGTATTTCCAGTAATTCATCCCATCTGGGAAGGGTCAGCAGTAAGAGCAGAGCTAGCCATGCCAAATGCAGACAGGCGCGAAAGCTTTGCTCCGATGAGCGTATCTTCGTGCCTGTTAGCCGTGTTCTCGGGATCTGCAGCTTTATCTGGATGCCACGGAGTCTTAGTTTGGAATCTCATTCAAGTTCTGAAGTATATGTATAGGCCTAGCTCACAGAGACATTTTGTTTTTTCTTAGTTTTGTGTTTGAATTTTTTAGAAACTAAATGGATAAATAGGTTGAAGCATGTACTTGTCAGTAGTTAAGTTAAAATCACTGTAGAGGCAAGTAGTGTAACATGCCTTATCCACTGCTCCGCTAGTAGAACAAGAAGTAGACTGTTAAATAAAAAAAGTTATAAAGAGGGCAGTGAGAAAGGGACAGACACAGGAAAGGCAGGTAGAATTTTAACTAGTGTTTTCCTTCCAAGATTTGTAATTGCAGTCACTAACCACTGATTTGATAGTTAAGTAAATCCATCCTGACTTTTAAAACAGAAAAGGAAGGGTGGCCGAAATGTGCAGACCGCTCACAGGAGGAACATGCTGAAAGGCCAGCATGAGAAGGAAGCCGCAGACCGGAAGCGCAAGCAGGAGGAGCAGGCGGAGACCGAGCAGTAAGTACTGCCTCTCTTCTGAATTTTGGGTTTTTAAGGGTAGCTTGACATTCTTAAAACAGACTTTCAATTTTGACTTCATGAAGCCTTTTAAGTTGTCCCATATACTGAAAGTCCTGCATATATGAAGATGTTGAGGATCATATTCCAAGCTTTATCATTTTCTAAGTGAGGGTGAAATTCACTGAGGCAGTCATCCTGTCAGTTATTTTTCAGTTTAAATTGAAAGTGCACGTTTTACCTGTTAGGGGCTTTGCAAAAACTATCCTCTGCTATTAATTTATCTGATGTATATAGAAAGAGTGATACTATATTGGTAGAGGAAGAATGCAAGGAATACTTTTTATATGTCATACCACCAGCAGGCCTACCCCTAGGGACCAGCAAAAACAACAGGAGCGCAGTGGGAAGCCCAGGAAGCCAGTAAAAGAAATCCAAAAGCTGACAGGGTTTGCATTTAGTTTGTGTAATATAAATCACGTTCAGATGTTTTCCCTTAAGCCCTGATTATTGGATATATAGTATTTACTTTTCATGGGTAATTTGCCCTTCATTGTCTAATTTTATTAACGGAAGAAACTCATAGCAATGAGAAATGGTGATTAGACTTTGTTTTTATTACATTTGTTTTCCTAGTTACTTTTAGAGTGTCACTTCTGACTTCTTCTCTGAAACATTTCTTTCCCTGTGAAGCGTCTTACACCAACTAAATTTTTTTGTTATTTAGTGAGGTGATTTTTAAAACATGCTAAGACAAAGTTAATAATCAGTGAGGCGTGAAACAATTCTTGAAGATTTTTCTTTTTCCATCTGTAAGCTGCTTTTCTAGGTCTAGCATGTGCCTCAGCATTCTTAATTGTTTGGAGGATTTATAAGCAGTGTTTGCTGCTTGAGGGGAGTAATTTAAAACTTTATCTAAAGGTCAGAAACATTACTCCCAAAGTTAGACTTTGAACACTTTTGTAAATATTTTTTGTTATCTTTTTCTATCTTTTCACTGGAAAGTTGGAATGTTTGCTGCTTTGAACTTTATCGTGCTCTCAAAAATAAGATCTAAAACTAGTTATTGCTTAGTAAATCAGCACAATTCTCCTTTAGTATCTCACAAGTTATCTTTATGTATTTCAGTTTCTTTTGAATGTCCTCCAATGTAACTTTCTCAAATTCTAATATTTGTGTTTTCTTTCCTTCTCCTGTTATTACAAAACTTTGTACTTGGACAGTTTTGCTCTGTAAAGCATTTCAGATGCAACTTGTGTGAAATGCATTATGCAAAATAAAGTTTATTGTATTGTATTCCCAGCCAAACAACATGTAATCTACAGTAATAAAAAATATATCTCATTTTGGGCTCAAAGCATTAATCCAGTTACTGAAAAGAGAACACAAGTGGAGCAAACAAGACATGAAGATCTTGAGACAGACTCACTGGACTGAATTTCCCCCTTCCCCCTTGATGGAAGAATGTTCCAGATCTAAATTGAGGACTTCATTATTAATGGCATTATTACTGTGTTCTGATTGTTAACAAATTTACTGTAAGGTACACACTACATACTAAGGTCAGCCATCCTGTTAAGCTTTTTATCAAGCTTAAAATGAAGTTTTGTGTTTGAAAATCATAACAAGCCTAGATGAAGATGGTGGTTGTACATTATTCATTTAGAAAATATAAAAATTCGTTTTGTTTTGAAGCTAGGTATTAATTGGAATAGCTCTTATACCCAAGACTGGGACAGCTGTGCCCTTCCTTCCTTTGACACTCCTTTGTTAATTCTTTAGAATCTTAATTGTTTTTTTAATCCTGAGAGATTAAGCAGTAGACTTGTTAAGAAAAAAAAAAAATGAAACTGTAATCAAAATTTTAAAATAAAGTTTTTTTTAAAAAAAAAAACCTGATTTTTAGATACTTTTTTGTTCTTGTCTATTTTAATTGGTTTATGATATAGCCTGAACTCTAAGCCAAGGTACTACAAATTAAAATTTCAGTTCTATATGGTTATTTTTGTGATTTATAGCTAACTGGTACCTTTTCATTTGTAAAATGGTATGTAAATATGAGTGGATGTCATTTGAAATACTGACTTCCCCCATTTAAAAGAAAATGCACAGGAACATCTTAGTCTTAGTTTTGAAGTTCACTTGAAAACTTAATTAACTACACTTTGGACATGTGGGGAACCATGAAAGTGGCCTATTTTGTCATGCTGCTTCTAAATATAGCTGAACCTGTGAGACATTCTTAGTGCTCTCTTCCCACTGGGGCTTTTCTGCCTGCTCATCTGTAGAGTTCAGCTTTTTAATAGCAGTAATGTTTGGAAGAAAAATTTCACTGTGACAATGTCAAAATCATGTTTGTGATATTGAATATTGAACTTATTTGCTGTGTTGACTCTGCCTTTTGTTTCTGTGTATACTAATGTGTGACGAGGGATAGTTCTAAAAACTAAAGCCGCTACCTTATATAAAAGGGGTGTGGGCATTTGGTACTCAGTGTTCCAGTGTTTTGAAATATTTGTGTTAACGTTTGATAGGCAGAGTAAAGATGAAGGAAAGAAGCCAGAAGTTAAGAAAGTGGAGAAGAAGCGAGGTTTGTTGCTGTTTTTCTTTATGTTTAAAATATACCTAAGAAGTTAACAGACAATTGCTCATGACTGGCTTTAGGAACAGTCATGTTCTTATATCCTACAAATACACCTTTTTAAATACTTCATAAATCCTACTTAAATTTCACTTGTCTTCGTGGCGCTGGAGGTTGGACCCACAGTTGATACACAGCTGTGTTCCCAGACCTTTTAAAAATTTTGAGACAGTGTCTCACTCAATTGCCTAGGCTGTGCTTGACTTGGGATCCTCCTGCCTGAGATTCCCAGAGTCTGGGGTTCTGGGTGGGTGTCACCACACTGGGTACATCGTAACTACTGTTACATTTGAAGCACAAGATGAAGTTGCTGAAGGGGTGTATTTAATGTTATCTGAGGATGCCAGATTTATCTAACCTCTGTGAAAAGCTACACACTTCTCATGATGACAGATCCCTTGGGGCTAGAGGTCTACGGCAAAGACACTTTGCTGTTGGACACAGACTTGTTTACAAAGTTGGGAAAAAATCCAGCTGGATGGGCATTTTGTGCTTTGGCCGCATGTTGCTTTCCCAAACCTATTTTTAAAAGCACGCAACTTCTTAAGCTAGCTCTCATCTACATAAGTTTCTTTTTCTGGTGGAACCAGGGATTGAACTCACACCCTTGCACTTGCCAGGCAGTCTTACTCTACTGAGCTATCTCCCCGGCCCCTACATGAGTTTCTTAGTACCAAGAACAACTCTTAAAGCTGCCACTTCATTGTACTTTGCTTAGACTATGTAGAAACACAGGCTTTAGATAAGCTATTTACTGTTTTTCACATACTTTAATTTATAGAGACATCAATGGATTCCCGACTTCAAAGGATACATGCTGAAATTAAAAATTCACTCAAAATTGATAATCTTGTAAGTGTTTAACCTCATTTAAAAGTGCTTTTATAGCTTATTTTTCTCATGATTTTATAAATATGTAAAAGTGAAGATAAAAATGGACAAGTACTAGTCTTTTTGTACTGCCTTGAATTTAAAACCATCTTTGCACATGGCTTGCTCTGTGCTGGTAATAACTGCAAGTCCTGTTCTGTGTGAAGGATGTGAGCAGGTGCATCGAGGCCCTGGACGAGCTTGCCTCCCTTCAGGTCACCATGCAGCAAGCACAGAGACACACCGAGATGATCACAACCCTGAAAAAGGTGAGTCACCTCAGACCAGGCAGGTTTCAGAACATGTTCTTGTTACTTCTTCATAGAAAAGGAAACATAGAGCCAGCAAGATACCTCAACGGCAAGCATAAGCGCCTGCTTCCAAGTGCAAGGTCTCGAGTTTGAGTCTGATCCCCTGGACAGGGGGTGGGCATAAAAAGCCAGCAGGGAAACTTACAAATATGTATTGTCTTCTCAGATCCGACGATTCAAAGTTAGTCAAGTCATCATGGAAAAGTCTACAATGCTGTACAACAAGTTCAAGAACATGTTTCTGGTTGGTGAGGGTGACTCTGTCATCACCCAGGTGCTGAATAAGTCTCTTGCGGAGCAGAGACAGCACGAGGAAGCAAGTAAAACCAGAGACCCCGGGAGGAAAGGGCCTAGCAAAAAGCTGGAGAAGGAGCAGGCAGGTATGTGGACCCGGCCCTGGTGGGGAAAATGGTGTGAGTGGTTTTAATTCACATGCAAAAAATTTGTTTAAGTTGGAAGTAAGATACTGAAGCTTTTTAACATCATGGACAAAGGCTCACGGTGCACTCAGCCAAAATGGGTGTGATTCAGGCCTTGGGCAACGGTGCCAGTGGAGTTAAGTGGTGCCGCTTGGAGTGTGCTGCCTGGAGTGCGCGGTCAGGGCATGGCGCAGCTTGTTGAAGGACAAGCAGAGTGCCTGCATAGCAGGTCACATCAGCTCATGAAATCATGGAGCTTAGTGAGGCAGATGACCCTGGAGGGAGGATCTTGGATAATCCAAAAGCTTCGCCCTTGTCCCTGTGAAGTCCAATTTGGTCCTTCCACTACTGGTATTTCTGCGCATGTGTGCGCACACACAAACCATTTACAGTGCACAGCAATCTTTTAATCAATGCAGCATCACAGATGGAGCCTGAGGGATGCTGTTTCTTGCTGTTGGAGGCTGAGGTGGTGATAGTTTTGCCCTCTGATGGTTCTGTGTACACAGTCTCATTTCATAAAGTGATTGACAATAGTGTTCACTTAGGTCATATGTATAAGGTGTACATGAAACCAGTTTCGATTTCACTCACAAGGGACTGGTTTTGTCCCTATAAGCTTTCTCAGTGCTCCCAATTCTGCAGATTATTTTAAAGGGCAGTAGCAATAAGATAGACCTTTTAAACGGACTCTAAAATCAGAATAGTGCTGCTAATTCCAAATTAGTAACATCTGACCTGGAAGATGTTTAGTTAACTAAGGTGGAAACATTTCAAAAGCAGTTGGAAGGGGTTGGTGAGATAGTTCAGCAGACTAAACGCCTGCATTGGAAAGCACAGGGTCCAGGGTTCCGTCCCTGGTCCAGCATGCCGTACCAGCCCTGCCCCCAGGGTGTGCTGAGCTGGCAAAACTAGTCCAGGCCTGGTGGCACACTGCGCCTGTAAATCCCAGCACTGGAGGCTGGAAACAAAAGGATCACTACGAGTCCAAGGTGTGTCATGAGACCCTGTACTAAATACATAAAATGGAACCAAAAAGGCAGCTGGATTTTCTCATTTATTAGGCTATGATAGGTCTTCATTGATACTATTTAGATCAAAACCTCCATGATTTATTGACCCCCAGATCATGCCAATTAACAGCAGCTTTTAACACTTGGGCTTTGGTGATGTTAGTTGCCAGGATAATGAAATCCTTATTTCTGTTTTCTGAAATTACATCAAAACCCAGTCCTAAAGTTCCTGAGAAGGTTGAAATACAACGTAATTTCATATCTGAGACTTAATTATTAGAACTTAATGTCCATGTTTTATTTTGCATCTTTCTAGGACTCTAGGGTATTGCTTATGAGCTCTGACAAAGGTTTTCTCTTTGAATCCTAAAGGTTCAAAAACTCTAAATGGAGGACCTGACGCTCAAGACAGCAGTCAGCTACAGCATAACGGAGACAGCAACGAAGACGGCAAAGACGGCCGTCAAGAAGCTGGCAGTAAGAAAAAGTGAGGACACGCTTAGTGGTTCTTCGTGGGTTTCTCTTTAAACTTGAACTTGAGGAGGGTTTACTGTGTTGCCCAGTCCATTCCCTGCTTTTGTCAAGCAGCACTGTGGGTTGTATTTTGAGTGCTTAGTTCTTTAATAAGCGAGTTGCAAATGAAAAAGCTCAAGAGGAGTTCTAGGGCTCACTGTTAAAGCTCAGGCTAAGGCCTGGAAGTAAAAAAAAATCCCAAAAGGCAAGACGACTTATACTATTTATGTTGACTTGCTTTCACACTTAAATTGAGAGGATTTTACCTTAGAGCATTAAAATGTATTTATTTGGAGAGGTGGTAACCAGGATAAAACTGAGGACCTTCTGCTTGGCAGGCAGCCAGGCACTTATGCCACTGAGCTATATCCCTAGGCTTCTTTGCATTTTTTAAAGCCAGGATCTTGCTGTGTAGCTTAGGCCGACTTGGGTTGACTATGCAGTCCAGGCTGACCTCTATCTTGCAGTGATCTTCCTGCTTCAGCCTCTCGAGTGCTGGAGTTATAGGCGTGGCACCATATAGTTTATTATGTATAATATGGAATGATGGGCAATTTTTATACTATAATTGGCTCTACCTTAAAAACAGTTGTGAAACTGTGGTCATGAGTCTCACTAGTTTATTCATTTGAAGGATTTGGGCTTCTAATTTATAATATGTTGGTGTCACAAATACCATTTTAATTTAAATCTTTTTAAAGAGAATTCAGTTTAGAGTCAAAAATGGCCTGACGTATATAGTAGTTCCCTGAGTTACCTTACTTGATATGCATGCTCTTTTGGGAAGATACAATATAGTAAAGAATTCTGAACAAGAAATAATGACAGTGCCTTGAGGATTTGTTTTGGTTTTTTATGGTTTAAAAAATGTAATGCACAGATTTACTGCCTGATTTTCACAGGAGAAAATCTTAATCCCAGTTGTCACACATGTTCTTCTCCCTCTTTAGGCCATCCAGTGAAGAGAGAGAAACCGAAATATCTCTGAAGGAGTCTACAGTAGATAACTAGATTGATACACAGTACCTGGAATATAAAGAACATTTGAGAAGTTTGTAATAGTTTTCATTTGAAATATTTAGACTGCTGAAAGTTTTAAATTTTTATAAGCATAGGTTTTGATGTTTAAAACTTAAGGGAGAAAATCTCATTAAACATTATTGCTAAGTGTACTTGTGCAGTATTACCAGCTATATTATACAGTAAATGTGGGGTGAAATCCACTTAGAAAAAATGTTCAACTACTTTTCCAGACATGGTTGTAGCATATTTTTAGTTAGTGTGTGTATGTTAATGTAATTGGTAGAACAAAGTTACATTTTTAAAACTGCTGCTTGTATAAATATTTCCCCTTTTCTCAGATTCCGTGGGTTTTGTGTATAGTTTTTACAAATCTT